TATGTTGGAAATAGCCTAGACGAGAAACAGTAGGAAACACTCAGAAAAATCTCGAAGAGAAGTCAAGCATGCAAAGTTGGTCTGGCTGGGAAGAGACATTCATCCACTAGTGGGATTTACACAGAGGTTTGTGAGACACAGTTGAAAGGTTGCCCCAGTAGGAGTACCGTGGATCAGTAGGAGCCAGAGTCATGAGTTGCATGATAAGATGTGTAAAACTATGTAAAAGACACTGTGTTCACCAACCACAGCTTCTTTTTTCGTTCTCACGTATCAGCAGGCCTTCGGTGTGCACGTTATCTTATAGCTATTGCTTGGCAGCAGTGGGGCTAGAAGCTAGGATATCATGTGTGTGTGAGTCAGGTGCTCGATCACTGAGCCACAGTCATGCTCATCTTCATAACTATTTTCAAAACATGATTTTAAATACCTTCCAGTAATTCCTGATATGCTATACTTGTTTAACCACTTACATTTTACAAATGTGTAGACTGTCTCTTTTGTTTTAAAGAATGGATGTCTTGTTTCTTTGTACATCTTGATGAAAATCTAATATTTTTACTTATGTTATGGAAATGAAAGCCCTAAGACAAAAGATCTCATGTCCCACACCTGCTTTGATGTGCTCATGACCTTGTCTTCTGGAATGACTTGCTCTGGAGCACTGTGCCGGATTGCCCAGTCTGCTCTGCTTCTGCTCATACTGAGTGCTCATTTTTTCTAAAGGTCTTCTCCAGTTTTTCGATGAAATAGTATATCTTTTCATAAACTTATTGGCTTGTTATGCTCTATGAAGCACTTTTGTCTAAGTTTATGCAATATTATCCATTTGTTATACAAAACATTTTATTCTTGTTCTATTTTATCTTTTGCTCCTTCTGTACCTGCTGTTTATATATTTTGTGGCTCTTAAGTTAGTTGGCTTTGTCCTAAAATACCAGAATTAGGCTCTGCCAGATTTATCAACTCAACACAGTTTGTGTTGATCTCTACAAGAAGGCGAACTCGACGTAGACACTTTGTGTCTCTTCATTGTGTTTTCTCTCTTCTGATGCTGAGCTTTTGTTGCTTTTTACTGTTATTTATTATCACTTTGTGAAGTTTTACACATTTATTTCTGTTCTCTAAATTCAATCAGGTCTTTGAATTTTGCCTTAAGTGAATTCTGAAAATTAAAAAACAAAAAAACAAAAAACAGTGGGAAGTTTTGACGGCACAGTTAGACGAAGGAATAAGGTGTGTGGCTGGACAGCCCAGCAGGGCCAATGATCACTCCCGGTGTTTCATGAAGCCCTGGAAGGGAGGAACTCAAAAGACTCCCAAGAAGGAGAAAGCATGTGTGACCCTGACTTGATTCATGCTGCTGTGTGTGTGGAAACAGCACATTCTACCCCATTATTGTGAACCACCAAGTCTTTAATTGCAAAGAAAAGCAGTAAGACACATTTGCACAGTGGGCATTGCAATGTCACACACCAGCATATTAGAGCTGGCCTTTGATCCCACAGCACACGCATGATCGCAGCCCCGAGTCTCACTTCCTGCACACAGCCTCCTGTCACAGTACTCTGGGTCTCCAACCACTCTGCTTGCTTGTCAGCTGTTTCTGATTTATGGGTTAGTACATTCATTGACCTGTAGAATTTTAGCAATTAGGCTTTGTTTCCAAGCCCTTTTTTTCTGTCTGATCATTTCATTTCCATGGCAGCCTCTGCTTGCTTTGTGACTCTTAATATCCTTCCTATCTCTCTGAAGATAGTGTGTCTCAGCCACCAGAATGACCCTTGCTGCTTGAGGCAGCTTTTCTGTTTGTTCATTTGGGACTGTCTCTGCTGTCTGTTGCTGATTAATGGTTTACCCCATAATGATTAACACAAGAAGGAACTCATTATCCACCACAGCTTCTGCATGCCAGCTGTCTTACGGAGGATTAACCTGAGCCTCTCCTCAGAAGTTTCTCAGAAGCTACTGAGCAGGTCTGTGGACTCGTCTGAATGCATAGGTTAGGTAGGTCTGCTGCTGTCTAAGTCATGTAGCTGCCAGCTGAGTTTGCTTCCCTCTGTGCTGTGCTGAGCTGAGTCTCTAGCTGACTGTTGGTGAGAGACCTCCCTCTGTTTCTATTCAGCATGAGCCTCTGGATAGAGCAGGGCACAGCCAGGCAGATGGCTCCCTTCTGAGCAAACCAGCAGGAGCTGGCAGCAAAACCATCAAAAGACCACAAGAGATGGCAATGGAGATGGGAACCAGAGTCTTTCGTGGACTCACCTTGGAAGTTCCATCCACCCCTTTGCTACACTTCATAATAAACATGTTTCCAGCCGCTGAGTTTGTGGTAAGCTGCTTCATGATAGAGTGCTCCTGCATGGTTCAACTGCCAAGTACCTTTTTTGGTTTCTCCTTGTGTCGCTAGTGAATGTCAGGACTGACCTAAGCTCTGTTCTCTCCCTTAGCCTAGCCTTCTTTAGGAAGGTGGCCAGGGTTCCTACAGAGAAGCAGATCCTGGGCTGTGATCTGGGGGTGTGGAGAAGGGTGCCTCCCTGACATTCTGCAGGTCCTCTTCTTGAGTCCATGCTAGCTTCTGTTCTTGCATTCGCTGATCCTATGTTTGGTGCTTCTTTGGACCAACTCTGGCTAGAGCTATCTCATATTCTCATGTGGGGTTCTACACCTTTCATTTCCTCTCCTACTATTTTCCCACCAAATAAATTCTGCTCACCTTTTTTTTTTCACTGAAGTTCATAAAATACTTGGTCTGTTAACAGTGTGTTTTTCAATACTGTAAGAGTTTTGTTCATTAAGAGCAAACAAATGAGCAAGTCAATTTTCCAACATTTCCATGGAACCTTGGAAAAGAAGGGCAGCCAGTGTCAGTCATGACTCCACAGCTCAGCTCTGAATCTTGGCCTGGACTTTCCATATCTTTTCTTTTCTTTTCTTTTCTTTTTTAAATAAAACAAAACACTATTCTGATCCCTAATGCTGATCTAATACATTTGTAAACACTTTCACAGATCTCTGGTAAAATCGACAGGAAAGGACAGAATTTTTACAATTCCGTTGCTCATGCTCTGTTACTACTTCTTCACTTTAGAGCAGTGGATCTCAACCTTTCTAATGCCGTGACCCTGTAACACAGTTCCTAATGCTGTAGTGACCCCCAACCATAAAATTATTTCATTGCTACTTCATAGTTTTTCTACTGTTGTGAATCTTAATGAAAATATTTGATATGCAGGATATCTGATATGCGACCCCTCTGAAAGGGCTGTTTGACCCCTGATGGGGTCATTACCCACAGATTGAGAACCACTGCTTTAGAGGAAGGTTTGTTTATGAGGAGTGTGACTGCTTCTATCTTCTTTAAACTTTCTTACTGGTGCATAGTCCTTCTTTCTAAGCTCAGAGGGTGATTTCTTAGAGCAGATGACTTGAGAATGCTGCTAACTCATGATCCTCTTTAAGGCAAGCACACATGATGTCAGTGTGGAGGGTGTCAGATGACATGGCTACAGTTGTGACTTTGGCATGGCCCTAAGACATCAGAATCTTAAGGAATACAATGCTATTTCAAAGTGGTTGGGTTAGAAAGAGAATTTACTAGCAGCAAGCTACCTATCTCTCTCCAGGGTGACAATGTAGTCAGGTGTCATGGAAGCCCGTGGAAACCTGGGCAGCTGTCACCTTTTTGTCTCAGACATCTGCTTGTTCGTGCTTGCTTTTCTGACACCTGCATATGCTTTTCTGCCTCAGCAGACTTGCTGTCATCACTTTGGGATGAGGTGGTTGAGCTGGGCTTCCCAACAAAGGCAGCCTGAGTTTCCAGGTCCATATCCTGTCACTTAAAGTAAAGAAAACGAGAGTCTGTGAAGAGAGATTCTAGTTGGCATAGCTTGCATCAGGAACCTCTTCTTAGGTTTGCTCACCATGGTCTTCAGGGAGGTTTTAGAATACAAACATGGCTGCAGCAGGTCAAAGTCCCAAAGAAAAGGCAAGGAGCCTAAAGATTTGGCAGACGCCTCTGGAGGGATTTTGGCATGTGGCTAATAACATGGAATCAGGTCAAACAGACTTGATTTGGTCCTAATGTTGCCACTTACCAGCTGTCCGAACTGGGGCCAATATGCACTCTGAGAACCAAATTCTTCTTTTATTGATTGGGATCACTAATCCCACCTCTTGCATTGTAAGCAGGATGCAATGAGAAAATGCATGATATATACTATACACCCAACAAGTAGTGTCATGTTAATCATTACTGTTATCAAGCTATAAGAGGATCTGGTGCAAGATTCCAGGTAGCTTACCATTGCATTGTACTCCAGGCACCTGGACATTGTATCACATTTCAGGTGCCTCAACGTTGCATTACCAATGAAAACTAAGAGCAGATTTTCTCCTTACCATGTTTAGCTGAAGAAATTGACACAGGTTTAACTTTCCCTATCACATGTGTGACTTACGCTCACTTTCAGAACAGAGTAGTGGATGGTATGTACTCCACAAAGAGTTCCATAAAGCTGGTGGTCTCTAGGAGAGCCATATAGTTCCTCCTGAGCAGTTCCTGTTCTCAGGGTTGTACCATTCATTTTGGTTGATAGAGGATCACTATCACAGGTTAATATTGTGCTCTGTAGAATACTGTGAATATCATCCTGGAAGACCTCTGGCATCAATTCAAAAACACTTCAGTCTCTTCTTCAAAGAAGACATACTCCTTTCATAATAGAATCTTTCAGAAGTCCTTTGTAGCTTTTCTCACGGTCATGTTAAAATTGTGGGGGGGGGGCAGCCAACATTAAATAGCTTCTTTGTTGGAGATATATAAGATGCTAATACTGAAACTCTATATAAGTAAGATGTCAACTGTTTGATTTAGGATAGTTTATAAGGTAGAACTAGTCTAACAACATTTGTGGATCCCTTTTTAAATGTGTGTGCGCTATGCTATGCGAAATTGTGATAAAGCAACAGTTCACTGACCGTGTGATTTTTCTCCTAAGTTATGCGGACATTTTGATTGAGAGGGAAGTGTTAATGCAGAAGTACATTCATCTGGTTCAGATTGTGGAGACAGAAAAAATTGCCGCTAACCAACTCCGACATCAGCTTGAAGATCAAGATACCGAAATTGAAAGGCTTAAATCAGAGGTATTTCCCAGTTGAAGATTCTGTCGCACTGTTTCCTGTCTACTGTCACTTCCTTGTGATTATCTGTTGCATATTCAGGAGAAAAATTTAATCTCATGCTGAGTTCTTCTGCTATCAACAGATGAATGACGGGGCTGCTGGTCTAGATGTGAATCCATTGTCTGCTTCAGGTTAGGTAAACTGCTGCTATAATAGAGCAGCTACCGCGATAAATGCACTGTCTTCCGTTGTTATTTGTGTCCCTCATGCCATCCATTAAATCAGAAACACAGCATATACTTAACAGTCTTCAGACAGACTCTTGAAGTAGCAACTGTGAGTCTAGTTAAAGCCCAAAATGATAACCAAGGAAGGACCAGAAGAGAATTCAGAAATACTTTACTTATTTACCATCTAAAGGCTTTTCCTTCTGCGGAAAAGCACATTTGGGACAAACAAGAAGACATTAATTGACTATGGGGCATTTCTGACTCTCTGTTGATCCCTATTGCCTCAGTGTGCACTTCTGGGGAACCCCACAGTGATGTTACTGTTAAGTGACAGTGTAGGTAGTCTTTGAATCTATTGCCGTGGCACTGAGCCTGGGTCCTCTTCTGCCCCAGGTCTCCATCTCTGTCTTCCAGGCTGTCAGGTGGGTGCTCACAGAGAGCATGCAGTAACTGGAAGAATGGAGGAAGAATGAGGACTAGATGCTCCTCTCTGTTCTAAGCAGATGTGCATTTGTGTCTCTTCAATTTAAAGAAGGCTATGGGGTCCAGGAGGTAGTTGTGGATCCTTGCTGACAGGCTCCTTCGCTTTGGCCACTGTCTTGTCAGACGTTTTCTTTTTCATCCACGTACACCTCCCTGTGGCTCACTGTGTAGGGTTCGCCTGCTGTTCTCAGGTTCGTCCCCAGTATGGAGCGCAGCGCAGCTGGCTCCGGCAGGGACGCAAGAACGACTCTAGGGATGATGAGTTGCCGAGAGTTCAGTGCATCATTAGACTTGTCAGCCTCGTCTGTGTAACCCTGATAGTCGACGCAGTGAGAACAGCAACAGAAAACTTAACAAACCTGCATTTTAAAAGACTATATCAGGCACTGTAATTTGAAACAAAATGATTGTGTTCTTTCTTTGCCCCAGCATACTGTCTACTGACTGGAGCAGGTTGGTATTAACACCACGAGAAGAACTCAGCCCCAGGAGGCTCTCCCCAGTACTTGCTTGTGTGTGTTTATCTGTCCTCACTGTGTTCTGCTTTAGTCAGAATATAAACTGCAGCGAGACGCTGTCAGTGGCAGGTATGCCTTTTGTGGCTGCTTGGCAGAAATTATTTCCTATTCTATTATCTTCCCATTGTCTCCTAGAAAGTGGAGGTAGAGTGTATTTGGTTTGGGGGACAAGATCCAAAGACAGGTCACAGGGGGCAGTTATGCTCTTCTGACATTTCCAGTACTGGCTTCTCAATGGTTCTGTTTAAATTCATATGAACCATGATTGAGGCAAAACTAGATTGAGGTACTGCTGTCAAGGCAAGAAGCCACTTGGTTTTAGATTCTCCCTTACATGTCACACGAGGTGGATGTTAGCAAAAAGACCCAGGTTTTTACAGTCCTTTCTGCTTCTTTGAAATAACCCTTTTCAGATGGCTTCTACTAACCCCAAGGCTCTGAGGTTGCCATAGTACCCACCATTTTCCCAAGGAGATACAGAAGGAGCATGGGATATGCACTTCAAAGGCCACAGGCTTATCACAAGAGCTTTGAGTTGAATGTCTCTGTCTGTGGAGACTACAGGGCTTCATGGCAGCTGCCTTCAAGGAAGGTTCTGAGGAGACCATGGCCTGGTTTGTCAGCACTAAATTCTGGGCTAGTATTTCTCCTAAGGCAGATCTCCTAAGTGCAGCACTTCCTGTCAGCACTCAAAACACCAGGCTTGGAGTAAGACTCAGAGTCCCTGCATCTTAGCACCAGGGGAGGAGAGGATGCATCCAGTGAAGGTTTCTGGAAGTCTTTGAAAGCAAAACTTCTGTGTCTTGAAAGTAAGAGGCCATTCTCCAAATCCCGAACTGGACCTGTCTTGTGTTACAGATTGTTGCTCTTAATAAAACCAAGGAACGGATGCGCCCTTACCACAGCCATCAAGAGGATGAGGATCCAGACATCAAGAAGATTAAGAAGGTAGGAGGAGGGAGGCTTCTGGGAGAACGGTGACCAGCTGTCTGCTCTGTGGTGATGGCGTTGTTACTAGGTCCCTCAGCTGCGAACAGCCTTGGTGTTTCTGATAGCACCCAGACTGTCCCTTCATTGGGATCCACACTGGTCTGGAAAATTTTAGCCAGATATTTCTTTCCAATTCTAGAACTTCCTTTCTAGACCCTGAGAAGAATGCTACAAACACACATCGAGACAGCAGTGTTCTCTATTGGGTTAAGGAAGTACTGATTTTGTCATATTCATGGTTGGGGAGAAATTGTATTTCTGTATTAGATAATTATTTCCTGCTGCTGTAACAAACTTTAACCAAATGTGGCTCAGAATTTGGAATAGATTCTTTGGGTTGAGTTGAACATTTTCAATTTAAGAAATAAAAAAGTAAAATAAAACTATTATTTTCTTGACATCAGAATCTTTTATTTGAACCTGGTTTGTGACATTGCATTCCAAGACTAATGCAATTGGTTTTCTTTTCATAGCATGCAGTTAAATGTAAACAAGGATCTTAATAATATCCAAGTTTCAGCCTTGTTATAGGAGCTGACCTATTAGTAAATAAACAAGGCAACTATTGTTCATCAGGGAACACCTGCCAAAGTGAATATAAAGATTTTTACTTAACACAAATTTTAATTGAGTTGTATTTTCCAAAACTACTTCTATTAAATAAGACAATAATAAAAGAAAAAACGCACCGTTTTGAACCTTTGTTGTGCTCTGAAGAAACAACTTTAAACCTTTTTTGAACTTGTTAATATTTAAAAACTAACTTTATTATTCTTATGTCCCAAAACGTATAAATGGTGTATGTGGAAAAGGATGTTTACAAACATATCCACTTATATCCTCTAATCTTGGTAAAATGTAGCTTTTAGGAGATCACAACTTAAAATTGCTTATAATTCACAAAAATGTTCTTTAGAATTCTCAAAATAGTATGCATAGATCTTCATTCAATTCTATTGAAATGTGCTTAATTTTTATTGTTTGAGTATGCCAACTTTAATAGCTGTATGGAAACCAATGCTGTAGTGTCAAAATTAGAAGGCGTGTGGCAGTACCTTAAGTGTGGCAAAATTAAATGCCTGATAATTTATGTCATGTGACTGAAAGATTTAAAAAAAGAATGTTGAATAGATAAAAATCATACTAATGGGATCAGTTAGGGAATTAAAGCTTTTATTAATGTGTGACTCTGAAATATGCCTCCTTATAGAATCTGTCATCTCTAAATTGCCACATCTTAATTACATATCCTGTATTTTTTTTATTTATAGAGGACTTTTTATTTGGGGGTCCATTCTGAGGACAGAGAATTGGAGTTCAAGGTAGCCCTGCTGGTTAGTGACAGAGCTTTTGAGTGAAAGATGATAATATATAGATTTTTTTTCTCAGTGTTTCACAGTTACCTGGACATTTAAGAGATATTCAGCAAATGTTTGGCCAAACCACACAAGCTAATGCACTTTTTCAGATTTGTCAGTTTTTCTATTATGGACAGGAAATTCAGATCCATTTTAAGGGCTATATGATGCTTCTATAAAAAGTTTTTATGTTAAATTATTTTTTAAAATTTGTTTATCATAGCAAATGGCTAATATATGTCTTGCCCACACAGCTGAAAAGAGTTTAAGGAAGGAGCCATGCAAAGACACTGACTCTGCTTGCAGCTTTCCCAACCACGTAGCTTATCTGAGACCTCAGATTGCTCATCTGTAGGAGTGATTGGATGAGCTGATTTCAACACTTATTTTTTAGGCTTAAATAAGCAAAGCGAAACAAGATACAGCATCAACACAAAATAAAATTAGCTGGTTTAAAATGGGCAAAGTAGTTGAATAGAACACTATTCGCAGTGTTTCACAATGGTCAGCTAGCACACGAGAAGTTCAAGCCACACCCACAGAGCCAGTGCCTCACTCACTAGGTTTGTAAACAAAATCAAGAAGAAAATGATATGCTTTGGCAAGAATATGAAGAAACTGGGATAACCGTGATGTGGGTTGTTAAATGAAAAATAGACTTCGATGAAATTCAATACTGCACTTTCCAGCGATTCTATTTCTGAGTATATTTCAGAAAAAAAATGACAAAATGAGCTTCATGTTGAGGAGATATTGACATAGTCGTGCTCATAGCAGCACTGTTCAGAACAGCTAAGAGGTGGGAGCAAACATAACCCCCCCAGATACGAGTAAGACAAACGTGTAACATTCACGCACATCACCCTTAAAACACCCAGACATCCTGGCACAGTCTTCAACATGGCTGAACCTTGAAGACACTGTAGGAAACTAAATTAGTCAGTGGTAGAAAGATAAATAGTGGAAGAATCCATTTAGAGTTAAAGTCACAAAGCAGAAAGTAGACTGGTAGTTTCCAGGACCAGGAAATATCTATGGAGTTGTTCATTAACAGGTTCAGAGTTTCAATACAGCAGAGCAGAGATCTTGCAAATATTGAATACCCCAACAATAATGAAATGTGTAGATGAGAGTTGTTAAGACGAGGTTGGAGAGATGGTCCTGTGGTTAGGAGGTCTTCCAGCTCCTGCAGAGAACCACGACTGGTCCCCAGCACCCACGGTGCCTTATAGCCGTCTGTGACTCCAGTTGAGGGGATGCAAGGCTCTCTTCTGGCTTCTTTGGGCTCCTGCATATACATGATGTGTACATAAACTCACACACTCACAAACAAAGAAATGATAAAATCATTTTCTAAAAGATGGGCCTGGGAATATAGCTCAATAGTGGAGCACTTGCCTGGCATGTGTAAGACGCCAATATTACACTTAAAAAAATTAAGCTTTTACACTTAAAAATTTATTAAGATGATAAATTTTGTATTACTTTTTAACCAGAAACAAAAATGTATAGGATTCTTTATTGTTAAAATTAAACCTTTATTATTTAAATATATTAGCTAAGTTTTGAAATATTATTATTAGTAGAATATTCTAGTGTCTATATAAGATAAGCCTAATGCATTTAAGTTATTGTAGAAATTTGTGAACCTCAGAAAAAGATAAAATGTTTAAAGTCATTTTTTTCCTGCTATTTGAAGAAAGCTTGCTGTTGCTCATTGTATTGAAAGCATCACCGTGTCATCCTAAAGGTGGCATTTGAAAGATTCATGAGGTATGCGCTCGCTCCCGGTTTGACAGCAAATCTCATCTCCCATCCCGGGCTCCTTCCCTTCCTCATTCTGCAGGTTCAGAGCTTCATGAGAGGATGGCTGTGCAGGAGGAAGTGGAAGAGCATCGTGCAGGACTACATCTGTTCTCCGCACGCCGAGAGCATGAGGAAGAGAAACCAGATAGTGTTCGCCATGGTGGAAGCCGAGTCGGAGTACGTGCACCAGCTCTACATCCTGGTCAACGGTTTCCTCAGGCCCCTGCGGATGGCAGCCAGCTCCAAGAAGCCCCCCATTCGCCATGATGACGTCAGCAGTATTTTTCTCAACAGGTTTGCCTTTGCATAAATGAACAGTTTCGTAATAACTCATTAGGATTTCCTGAAAAACATCCCTACTGCTGTCTGAAAAGATTGGGTCTCACAGATTCACCTTTGTGGTTCTCCTGTTACGAAGACAGGTGGTGGCGCACAGCTTTAATCCGGGTGCTCTGGAGGCAGAGGCCGGTGGATCTCTGAGTTGCAGGCCAGCCTGGTCTACAGAGCAAGTTCCAGGACTGCCAGGGCGTCACAGAGAAACCTCATCGAGAGAGAGAGAGAGAGAGAGACAGAGAGAGAGAGAGAAAGAGAGCCGGAGGGAGGGCTGGAGGCAAGCATACACACTAATACGAAGAGAGAATCCTTGATTTTAGCTCTGCAGTAAGCATTTGCAGTGCCCTTTTTGCTGAAGACCAATAAGTAGACAAGGCAGAAAATGACTGCCTTTGTGACATTTATATTTTGACGTGAGAACACAAATGAACAGTGATTAAATGAAAATATGTTGTATATTATCCAATGATCAATGCTGTGGAGAAAAATGAAACAGAGGAAGAAGTGGAGGAAGGGAGGCTTCCCAATTATTTATTTGTTTTTGAGACAGTAATTACTGACATGACTCAAAAGTCAAAACAGTGGGGAGGGGGTTGCTTTGAAGTTGTTCTCGCCCTCAGTCTCCTTCAGGCAGTGCAGTTGGCATTTTGGCCACAGCTGTCCAAGCATGTGTGGCTGGCAACGTGGGTAAGACTGTGAACCACACCCTCTGACAGTGAGCATCCAGGCGGGTGGCCCTTGGTTTCAGCAGCCCCATGAGTTGCTTCCATGAGACTGCTTGATCTAGATCACTAAGGGCCAGGAGAACACTGTTTACGTTCAGAATGTAAATGTTAGACCTCGTGACTGGTGGCTGAGGCTGTGGGCGCTGTGCACAGACCAGCCACTGTGTACCATACCTAGCCCTCGATGGAGAATTGAGGGACATTTTTAATGGGTGGCCATACATGGTGTCTGTTGTCCTGGCTGCTGTTTAGATTCCCTTGTCTTTGAAGTGAAGCCAAGGCAGGCCAATTATCTTGAATCTCAGCAGAGCTTACACTTAAGAAAATGTAATGCTCCCAATTATGTACAACACTTGTTTAACGTTTTTCTCTAACTCAGGTACGAAATATGAAGGTGAGTGCATTCATTAGCTGGGTTTCAGTGTAGGAAAGAGCAGTCCCTCTCTTAATACAGGAAATCCTCTGCTTAGGGTTTGTTGGAAGGGCTGGGAAAGTAAAGCTCTCCTAAAAATGTCACGCTTAAGAGCATGGGACCACGAATAGGACCCTGAAGCAGATTGGGAGCTTCCTCATCTCCTGACTTTGCGGTTCATCTTGGTCTCCTTTGGGTTTCTGAGCTAACAGAGAAATTCCTGTCTGAGGCAGGTAGTAGTCCATGCAGTACATAGTTTGGAGGCCTATGAGGCCAGCATACCACATAAATATGGTAAGGCTAAGCGAATGTTGGGCTTCTCACAGAAGCAGTACCTAATGTTATTAAATGGTACTGTTTTTCTATTTTTTATAGTGAAACGATCATGTTTCTTCATGAAATATTCCATCAAGGACTAAAGGCAAGGCTGGCAAATTGGCCTACTTTGATTTTAGGTAAGTCGCTCTTTAAGGATATAGAGGTCTTCTTGAATGTTAGAGTTACAGTATGTGATAGTCAGCCTGGACCACCTAAACTTCACTGCTGACTTAAGAGTTTCCTTAGACACTGGGAATCTGCTTGATGCACCAGACCATGTCTCTGTAGCTGCCTGCTGATGCTTTACCCTGGGCTGTCATAGAGAGTGGGGAGGCTGGAGTCACATTATGCTGTAGGGAAAATCCTCCCCAGTCTGTCCTCCAGGCAGGACAAGTAGGGCCCTGAGCTATATGGTGCTGGAAGGCACTTTTCACAGTAAGTCACCAAGCACCAAGGGCAACTGCCATGTTTCCTTCTGTCTTCCAGCAACTGCCATGTTTTCTTCTGTCTTCCAGCAACTGTCATGTTTTCTTCTGTCTTCCAGCTGACCTATTTGACATTTTGCTGCCCATGCTGAACATTTATCAAGAATTCGTGCGTAATCACCAGTACAGCCTCCAAGTACTTGCCAACTGTAAGCAAAACAGAGACTTTGACAAGCTCTTAAAACAGTATGAAGCCAACCCTGCCTGTGAGGGGAGGATGCTGGAGACATTCTTGACCTACCCAATGTTTCAGGTAAACCAGTTAGTTCTCGCTCAGCTTCGCCAACTCTATGCCGTCCACGATCTGTGCAGCATATAGAAGAAACTGGGCATTTTTCCAGAGCTGGGGATTGAACCTAGGGCTTTGAGCACGCTAAGCAAGCAGTCTACCGATGAGATACACCTCCAGCTCCGAAAGCAGGCATGTTTTTGAGGGAAATAATTTAGGAATGATATAAATATATTATTTTTAAGCAGCAAATTCTCTTTATAGAATGATTCCACACAGACCTCTTTCATGGCGTTTCCACCTCCAGCATGTTTAAAAATATTATTAGGCTCACAGAAATAGGATTCTGTGCAGATGCACTAGTTTATGCTGGTTATGCAAAAGGCTCTCTGGAACCGGAATGGCTGCTGGGAAGTCTCTTTGTCCAACCCCTCCTCCCAGCAGCAGCAGGATTACTGTTGAGTTTCTCCTGGCTGGGGCTTTGGAGAACAAAACTAGGCCTTCTTAATCCCACAGGCTGTGGAGGCTCCAGAGCCAGAAGGCACTTGCTGGACCTGGATGTCGTGAGGACCTGGTCATGTTGTCCTTCTTAAGACAGGGCTGTGCCCTGGTGTTCACTCCTGGGGACTAGTGAAACACGCAGGATGAAGCACACATGCTCTTTCCTGCCTTCAGGGATTTCCCCTTGAAATGCCCTATATGGAGGGAATTCCACAGAGGCAAAAATGGGTGTGGAGTCTCCTGTCCTTTTGGAAACTGCAGGTTCTGTTCTCTTGGAAGGGCATTGAGTGTTCCTGTTGTGGAATTTATGGGGCTTCTGGCGATGCCCCCGAATTGTCCTGTGGTAAAATGATTCTTCTGATCATGTGTGTTATGGTCCTGTGGAGCATTTTGTTCTCTCAGCAGGCAGCCTTGATCCCAGACAACAATTTTGGAGCCTGGGATGCAAGTGGGAAAGTGTAGGGGATTTCTGTGGTCCATAATTATTTTTCTAAGGTTAGTTTGTACTGCTTGGACCTTGGAAGTGGTTATGGTAGTTCAGTAAGAATTTTTAAAGCCAAAGGCTGCATTTGAAAATGGTTAAGTATAGTGAAATTTCATAATAATAAATATGTACATTATATATTATATAATATTTTATATATTGTTTTGCTTGAACTTTTCCAAGAAAAATGACAAGCTTTTATTTTACTCTATACATGTATAGAATTTCAGGTTTTACAGTGAAGTGCTTCATGACTACATTGCTCTTCTGTGATGCTCTTCTAAGTTAGGATTGAGTGCCCCAAACCATATCTGTCCACAGCCCCAGACCAGGTAGCTACAAAAGTAGAACTGTTAAAGGCTGATGAAACTCCCTGTGCCTGAAGTTTCCTACACATGCTTTTTAATTCCCAAGGCATGATCCTCCCAGGGGTTTTAAATGCCATAAGTTTATAAACCTGAACTATGGGCAGGACATCCCAATGTGGTTGAGTGCAGAGCCTGGGCGGGGGGGCTTCTACCACCCTTTCCTTCCTTCCCCCTGAAGAGTTGAAACCCAGTAGCCATGACTAAGCATTTTGATGCACTTGGAGACATTCCCATCATATCCAACAAGAGCATGGAGCCTGGAGTCTTGGGGAGATCTGGTGTCTGCTCAGCCTTGCCTCTCATCGATACTGTCACAGTGCTCAGGGGCTGGGCTCTGGGTAGCTCTAGGTGCTTTAGGTCTCTGACTGTGGCCCTGGGTGTACAGTTTGGGTTGGATAACCATGCAGTATTGTAAGGAGTTCAGGGTTATCTAGAACTTCCTCCCAATCCCAGACAGTGACAGCTCTAAACCCTAAAACTGAGTTGAGGGATCAAATATTGAGGATCTTAGATTTCTTCCATGGTGAGGCAACTCAAAGCTGAAGCCCCTTTGTCTGAAAGACTCTTCACACTTGAAGAATTCATCCCAATTTCAAGAGATGAGCAGATGGAAGGATTTTGAATAATCCAAGAAGAGAAATTATTAGAGATTGCTACCCACAGACCTTGGTTTTCTTGGGATCTATCCTTTGGCTTCTTCACTTGGGGCATCCCCAAGGAGAAAGCATGTGAAACAATTAAAGGGAAGTACGCTTTCTAGAAACTTGGAGGGTTTTCTTACTGGGCTCACTCAATCCTAGTCTTCCTTGTCTAATGGATGAAGTAGCCATGAAGGTGTTTGCTCCCTCAGAGGATCTGAGACCTAGCTCTGCTCCTGCATACACTGAATTGCAGTGGTCTGTTCAGGCCTTGACCTTGCTCCTTGGTGGTGCTAGACACGGCCCCACACCCCGGCATCAGTGGGAGATGTGATCCTTCCTTATGCTGCCGGAGGATCTCTGGCCCTAACTTTCCATGAACTGAAATATGGAGGCAGAGGTTGGTGGCAGGGCAGAGGCAGGAGGAGAGGTGATTAGAATGGGGAGCTTTTAGCCTGTAGCTTTTTATGATGGGAGAATGATGATGCGAGGCTCTCACCCCACTGATTTTTTTTTTTTTTTTTTTTTATTGGTGATTTAACAGAAGACTTCACACTTGCCAGGCAAAGCACTCTGCTTCTGGTCTCTATCCCTGGATTTTTTTTTTAGGGGGAAAGGGTCCTTTTTCTTAATTCAGTTGCTGCCTTGAACTATGAAAAAAAGGAGGAACTGTAAAACTGGGATGATACTAGAGAGAATAACTAGTAAGTCTTATTGTTAGCGAGCACTTTGTTATAGCAATAATAGAGTCTAAAAATTCCTGTCTGGCAAACAGTGCCTTGGCTGGCACTGTTCATGCTGTTTCCAAGTGCTCGTGTGTTTATTTGAACATACGTGTGTGTTGAACGTCTATAGGCAAGACAGTCATGACATCTGCTCCCAGAGAATGCTGTGAGGTGGGCTACAGGAAGAAGCCCCTCGCTGCTCTGTCTAGCTATTAACCCAAACAGGAGAGAAAGCTAATTAAAGTCTAAGGCAACGAGCATTTGTTCCATTATTGAAAGTAGAAATATGATTCATTTTGATAGCTGCTGTGATGGTCAGAGATTTTGGAAACTCTGTGCAGTGAGCTCTTGTCACCACAGACAAGCTCTTTGCAGAGTCCCTTACTGCTCGGCAGAGGCTCCTTCACCAGCTTTGAGCAAGAGCCAGCATCCATTTGTTCCTGTAGCACAAAGTAGAAGGGGCCAGTTACCGAGTTCAGCTCTGTTCACTTGAGCCCTAGCCAGAGAACTCTAAAACAAATGTAACTAATGGAGGAAGAGCATGAAGCTATGTACTAAACATAGTTTTGTGGGGTTTCGGTGCATAGTAAGTACTGAGGCCCTCCCACTCCTGACTCTTGTTAGGAAAAATTGGTTCTATTAGCTGTTCATTGCTTCATTTTCTGTGGAAGTATTTACTCTTAGCAGAGTTTTCCCGTAATGGAACTGTGCCAACAAAAGGGTTATTCATAAGCATCCATATTACAGGAGTGTTTTCCATGTGCATGCTTTGGTGAGTAGTTTATAGAGCAGAGATAGAAGTCTTCCTTCATCTGTCCTACAGTGATAAGTCACTTAAGACCCTGATCCGACCATTAAGCTGCAGTTAGTGCCTGCGCTATTAGTGACTGTTGTCTACGTGCGTAATAAAGGGAGCCACTCACAAGTGAGCAACAGCAAATATATATCCATGGCTGGGGCCGCCATCCCTCAGGACAAAAGGGGAGGCCTCTGGAAAGCTGCTTTTCTACCCTAGTCTCAGGGGTTCTTAAGGTGCAGATGAGAACCAAGGCCCCTAGAGTGCCAGGGAGATCTAAGCTGGCTCTGCCATTTCCTGGGGGGTCTGCCTTAGGTCAGTTCCTAGACCTCATTGCAGTCTGTTTCCTCACTTGCCAAGCCAGTAGTCCGTGTGTAGCTAGAGGAATGGACACGTCCACCGAAAGCACTGTGCTGGGAGTGTGGCTGTTCATACACCCTTGCCCTGAAACTACCTGTTTATAACGTAAGAACAAATAAATGGCCTAGTTAAACAACAGTTTCCCTGCTGGAGGGTGACGTGAGATGAAATAGGAGCAGAGTGTCAATACGAAAGAACAGATCTTTCCTGATTTCAGTTGTTAAAGAGAGCATTGTCAGCACTGTCATTTTTAAAATAAACATATAAACAGACACAAACCTTTAAAAATAGATTCAAGTGGCTCGATGGCAGCTGCATCTGACTCAGTGTGCAGAAACCGTGATTCAAACGCGCATGTTATGTACAAGCCTAAACAATGGCTCCTTTATACTAGGCTTCTTCCTTTCTGATGAAATTCTCGTGCTCTTCTTTTGGGGTGGGGGTACAGACCTTCTTAGTGTATGAGGTTTGAAGCATGGTTCACTCCCACTGTAAGACCATCAGAGTTAGGAGGGTTGGGGTGAGCTCCCACGGATGATGCCCCTGAGCGGGTCCCTGTGTCATCCCGGACCTCTTGTTCACACCCACCTGTGGCTGTTTTCAGATCCCCAGGTACATCATCACACTGCACGAGCTCCTGGCTCACACCCCCCATGAGCACGTGGAGAGGAAGAGTCTGGAGTTCGCGAAATCGAAGCTGGAGGAGCTCTCCAGGTGCGCAGAGGTCGCCCACAGAGGGTCAGGCTTGGGAGGAAGCTCCCGAGGAGCCCAAGCAGATGGGCTTCAAGGGGGAGGAAGCAAACGCTAGCTCCAACGTCCTTGACTCATCTTACAGTGACAGAGACATTGCTGAATTCTCACTCACATTCATTTCAGTCAAGAACTTATCTTTGGAAAGTTCTCATAGCATGCGAACTTACATAGCTGAGATCAGGTATGATTTGGTTAAGTCTGCAAATGTTCATTTTTTTTTTTTCATTGAAATAAAAAAATGACTGTCTGCTGCATTTTGTGTCAGATTTGGCCAGAAGCTAGGTAATGGGCAGGTTGTCGCCAGTGCTATTCAGATCAGATGTGGCAGTCTCCAACTTACTGCCTTCAGGAGTGACGCTTCAGTGTTAGTGAAGGGAGCCGGCTGTAAAATGCTGGGACTCCTTGTTGCCTTCAAAGCGAGCATCGCCACTCGCTGATGGCTGGTCCGCATACCATCGGCTCACACAGTGTGTCCTTGTACTGGGTTGTGACTGGCTGGAGCCCTGGCCCAGTCTTAATTCACAGTCTCGGCTAGATCCCATCATATCCAGACCCACATGTCACGTGGTGCTGTGTGTCCTGCCTGCTGGAGCAGTGACTAATGCCTGCCCATCTGCCCTGTGTGTGCCAGAGTGATGCATGACGAAGTGAGTGACACTGAGAACATAAGGAAAAACCTCGCCATTGAAAGGATGATCGTGGAGGGCTGTGACATTCTGCTGGACACCAGCCAGACGTTCATCCGTCAAGGTGAGACCTGTTTGATCAGACCCTCTGTTTACGTGATCTGTGTGTCTGTCACAGCATCGCTGGCACATCCGGGGACACGTTCTGGAGCAGGCCTGTGTGTGGTGCAGTTCATGCAGGACAGCCCTGTGGCCTTGACCAAGGCTGAGGTTGAGGCCCACCTCTGTGCTATTTCTTTTCAGGGTCATGAGAAACAGCAGCACACTAATAGTAAAGCACAGTGGGACAGTAAATCACAATCTGGCTAGACTCTCCTCCTCAGTGGACCGGACATTCTCTGCAACTCCAAGGAGGACAGGTCGGTCTGGCCGATTAGAATGGCAGCGCCAAGTGGTGATGATATCCAGGCAAAGGCTCAGGAGAAACTGGCAGTCCTCAAAACTCATGCACATAAGAGCGGGGACAGGGTCCTAAGTGAAAACAGCTGTCCTGTGTCCGCTTTTCTCATCAGCACTTCCAAGTCACTGCCACATGCTATAATTTGATTCAGTTGGCAACTCCAGTCCCCAGATAGAATGGTTCCTGCCAGGCTTTGGAGATGGTAGAGCCATTCTCTGTGTGGCATGTGTGTGGCGAGGGGTGACACCTGATTAATTAGGCCTTTGAGGAGATGAGGCTGTGTCACAAACGATGGGGAAGGAGCAGCCTGGTGATGCACAGCCCTCCTCAGCTCTTAGTTCAAGGTGCAGGAAGTGTGCCACATCCTGAGATGCTCTCAGATGCTGAGGTGTCTTGGAGGAGGAGAGCGTGGTGTCAGTGCTGGATCCGAGCAACCAGGATGCTCTGCTGCATAGCTTTGTAGTATGGACTGAAGCAAACTTGGGACTTGAATTAATCATCAGTGCTGCTTCTGGCAAGGGTGTGTTGGTATCGTTTGGAGCTATTACTGTTTTCTTCTATAATATGCTGCTTAAAATATGTTTTACCTCACCAAATAAGACATTATGCAGTCCACATTATTTTTTGCCTAGAATTCTTAAAATGTTTAACACATGTCATTCTATTTTCTGTTATTTATTTACAAAAAGAGTCACTACACATATGCTAAAGTTGGGAAGCATATTTTAGAAATTATTCCTTTTCTGTTTTTGATGCTATGTACCAACTTTTCTTAAAGTAATAGTAAACAGAATACAATGCTGACAACAGCAGCCATTTCCATTTCCTGCCCTATTGTTCTGAGTGGACCCTGTCCCCATGCTGGCTGTCTTCGTCAGCACTATCTGCCTGTGCATTATCAACTGTGTCGTCCCCTACCTGGGAGTGGGAAAGCCCTACTCCACCTCTTTTGTGCCTATAAAAGGACTACTTAACCACATAAGTCCAGGTCAGATAATGGTCTTGAATTGACTCTCCTCTCCATTTCCAAGGCCCTTTGCTCACGAGGCAGGGATTCTATCCTTTTGTGTGATCTGCATGATCTCCTCTCCAATAACGGCAAGCTCTGAGAGGCAGCATTCCAAAATTCTCTTTGCCTCACCTTGTCTAGTCTTAAAGCGACTGGGAAAGGGAGCATTAAAGTAGACCGAATAGCTTATTAATTAAAGTTGTAATTGTAAGGTATTTATTTTATACTTTTCTTGTATTTGAGGTTCTCTAAAGGTGCCTCCTAACTGACCTGTATTTTAGATCTAAGAATGGACAGAAAACTTTTTGTAACTTGCACACAATTTCTGAGCACACTTTTGATTGAACACTGTTATTACCCACAAGCACTTATGTATTTATAAAACTTAGATTTCTTGTGAGTTAAAAAAACACAACCACACACAGTTCATGAGATGTGACTGAGGGTCGAAGGATTTGAACCAAGCACATTATTTTCATTACACTTTAAGAAGAAAAAAAAAGTCACATACTGCTTCTCCCTCAGAGCCACGCCCATGCTATTTATCGTGTTGTAAATTTCATAGCTGAGGCACGGTCAGCCGTGGCTGTCCTGATGTCATTGTTATGGCAATATCAGGCTCATCAGAGCTTTACAGCAGTCTTGCTGTGTGTTTGATCTGCTTAGTAGATTTAGGAATTATTCAATGAAGGTTATTTCTGTACATCCAAAATTCATCTGAAGATAGAAAGTGATTATAATTGGGAAAGTTTGCACTGTCTTTCTTTAATTTTTTATTAGCACTTTTATTAAATACTGTTAACAGGCTTAAACACTCACAGAACACATTTTTAAAGTATTATTCATTACACTATCAAGGGTTTTGATTTCCTACTAAGTTGACTACAATGTAATTTTAATGGTGTCTGTTATTTTTATTAATTACTTCTGTGGGTGATATAAGATCTCTTTCAATATATGTGTGCTTGCATCAGTACATGTGTACTTTCTACTTTTTATGACTTCCAATAAAAATAAACCACCCAGCCAGGTCCTCAGCAAGAGTAAGGAAATACCACACGGAGCTCTGCCATCTCAGAGACCAGGCTCAAGGCCCGAGAATGGCGCTCATTTCTTCAGTGCTGAGCAGAATTCTGAGCAGAGGCTTTGGGTAGTCTTGAGGGCATTCTGTGGGAGTTACTAATTGAAGTATGAGAAGTGTTCCACACGTTGATTCCATGTTAGATACCCATAACAGGTTGCTAGGGACAGGCCCACAGCAGTGGTCGATTGACAAGATGTGGTAATCATTTCTCTAATCCTAATCATTTGTCTAATTTGTATTAACCAGAGAGGAACCGTTTCTGAAAGTTGCATGGCCATGCTGAAATATGTCAAACAAAAGACGAAATGTGACAAAGACAACTTAAGACACATTTTGAAGCATTCTATTTTATGAACCAAACAGACTTGCAATTTCTCACTTTTAGTTTGGTTGAATAGATCTCTGTCCACATCTAATGTAGAGTCCCCTGTTTGGTGAACAGTCAGAGTTTAACACATTGGTGTATGGTTGCCAAGGAAACTTTTTTAAACCTCAAAGCCAAAATTCACAATAATTGCTAATAGATGTGCTAACCATAAATTTTGTAATTTCTGACTTAGAAAATTACTTAAATTGCTAGAAGCATTTGCCAATGAACACATTATTATAGAATTTTCACTGACTTGGTTATAGCTTTTCTGAAAATGGCCCTGTGACCCATTTGTCCACCAAGATCCTACTGTCCCCTTTCCACTCAGCACTGACTAACCTGACCTCACGGGTTAGACCAGCTGGAGTGTGTCCTGCCCTTTGCCTTCAGGTCCCAGTTCACATGTTGTTAAATTTACTGCCCATTGTCTGACTCTGCCTCACCTATGTCTGGCTTTAACAGTGACTTAAACTGAGGCTTCAGTTTCTCCATTTATAAAATGCAGAAGGGGTTTAATTTTATCTCCTGAGTCCCCTGAGTTCCAACTCTTTGTGGAACTTGCTCATAAGCTCGCTACCCTTCCTGCTTTCTGCTTTTTCCACACCTCCCTACTTCAGATTGAATTCTTTGCTACACGAGCTGTCTGTCAGTTTGCTCCTGCCCACCTCACCTCCTTCAGTTACTCTCTCTTGTCCACCCAGTTCCCTGGAGTCAAGCCTTCTCCTGGCCCTTTGTTCCCACTCCTACTCCCTCCCCCAGGACTGGTTTCTTGCTCTTCTTTAAGCCCAGAAGAGCTGCCTACTTTCTGTCTGTCAAGTATCCCACTTAATCATTCACCTAAATAGATGATGTGAGATCAGGACATGGAAACTTTGTACTGTGTGTCTTCCCAGACCTGTTAAGGGAAGGAGCAATTTGAAGCATTCATATGTTAATGTTAATCTGCTGATTTTGTGACTCACATAGTTTTATTGCCTTAGGTATATAATTCTTTATATAAAAAAAAACTTTAGTATTTTTTTTTCACTTAAAGAACTAATCTGTGCACATTAAAAAAAAAAACTAAGAAACTCGGAATACATGAAAAAAATCAGGTTGTTTTTCTGGCTGCTGCTGCTGATTGTGTTTAAGGACTGGCTATGTACTTTGTGGTTTTGGTGGGCTCCTGAGACCTGTGTAGGGCTGCATAGGGTGGTAGATTAAACAGATGTTACTGGCTGCAGTGATTTCAGAAGTTAGAACAAAGGTGTTTGCAAGAATCTTGGTACTTTGTAGTTGATATTTAATAGATTGAAACTTTTTTTCAGGATTGGGGAAGTGTCTGTTACAGGTGATTGGAGGTGATCCCAGATACTATGTAAATATTACGGAAGCCTGTGTATCACTTCCCACTTCCCATACTGCTGCCTAGACCACAGCTCTGCCCTGCATGTGGCTTACTTCCCATTTGGGTTTCACAAATACATTTTAATCAACTTTGTTGCAGTTCCTTTTTATTAGCATGCATTAATTACATAGAATGGGGTTCATTGTATCACACATAATTTAAATACAGTTTGAAATAGCTTTCCTTTAAGATAGTCCTTAAATAAATTGCATTGACTTATATAATTTATGAATTTTTATTGTATACATCTGTTATACCATCTATTTTAAAAATGCAAAGTAAACTATTCATATACCTTTTATTTTTATTTCTTGCTTCAGGGAGAATAAATTTTATTTATTTTGATCAAACTATTGTATTATTATCTATAATTATATAATTTATAAGTTTACTCAATCAGATCACAGATGACATCAATGCTTCCAATTTGATCTGATATTGAAGAGTCAAGTCAAAATTGTTTCACAACAATACTAGGAACAGTTTGTCCCTTAAAATACAACGCACTATTTCCTGGGCTGGAATAGAGGAGATTCATTTGTTCTGATGGCACATCGAATACATTGTTGGTATTTTGGGGGACCGATCCTTGTGTTTATTGCCAAGGGCATGAGCCTCACCAGAAGTTTAAGTGTCTTTTCTTCACTCTTGTAATCACCAGGTTCTCTTATTCAAGTGCCTTCTGTTGAGAGGGGAAAACTTAGCAAAGTCCGCCTGGGCTCCCTGTCCCTGAAGAAGGAAGGCGAGAGACAGTGCTTCTTATTCACAAAGCACTTCCTGATCTGCACCCGGAGTTCGGGAGGGAAGCTGCATCTGCTCAAGGTGAGGGTTTCCATGTTTCCGTTGTCTTCCCAGCAGTGGAGAGGTAGGAAGTTAATTCGATTCTGACTTTCCAGTGCCTATTGTTGTCAGGAAAGATTGCTATGCTCAAGCAGGGAGAGGAGGTGTATGTCTAACAGCAATTATTTTGTTGTCTTTTGAATTCAAGGCAATAGAAATTTATTTTAAGTGTGCTTCACCATAAAGGAGTATTATTCAAATCAAAATCTAGGCAAAATTATTATCACTTGACAACTTCTAGGCCATAGATCTCTTGTCCTAGGTGCATGGATAAAATATTTTGCAACTGCTATTTTATCTCACTGTACATCCAGATCAGTCAAACTACAGCCTAAAGATCACTACCTGTTCTTACTGACAACATTTTATTTGCACACAACCACCCGTGCTTATGGCTGCTTTCACACTGAAATCACATGTCTGTGTAGTCAGTAGAAGTGATGTGACACAAAGAGACAAAAATGTTCCCTGACTGACCTTTTATAGGAAAAGTGTGCTCACTTGTTATGTATTTATCTTCTGTTGTTGCTTAGAACATTATTCACTGAGCCAGTGAGATAACTAAGCAGATAAAGGCTCCTGTCACCAAGCCCCGTGATTTGAGTTCAGTTCCCAGGGCTCACATGGTAGTAGAGAACAGATTGCCACCAGCTGCCTTCCAGCTTCCTCAACTGTACCACAGCACTGCCCCGTGCGTGTGCACACACACACACACACACACACACACACACACTAAATAAAGATAAAACCAATTTAAAAATACTATTCACACTGTGACACACTTCCTGGCTGGCCAATTCAGTCTTGTGCTGAACGTGGTTACTCTCTAAAGTCACTCTGGTACCTTCTAGTCTTCCATGAGTGGCTTTAATAAATTTTATAAACAATGGGGGCAAAAGTAGGAGAGTGGGAAGAATTTAATTAAAGTGAAATGATTTAAATTTGTTCTGTTTAGTTTTTAACTCTGTGAAGAGTTATTTATGGTGCACAACTTCTGTGTCCGTGGCAACCTGAATATTGAGTTTACAAAGCAAAGGCCACCAACTGCACAAGGTAGCCAGCCTCTTAACCACTAACCCATCTGCTTCCAGACAGGTGGGGTTCTTTCCCTCGTCGAATGTACGTTGATTGAGGAGCCAGACGCAGGTGACGATGACTGTAAGTGACATCCCATCTCTTGGAACACTGTGAAATAAAATCACATTCTGTAGATGTTCGCCTTATAGGGATAAGCTGTCTGAGGAGGTCGAGGAGATGTTAGGGTAAATTCTCTAAAGCTGTTTATCTGTGTAACCCGTGAGCTGTGGTAAGCCATCTTCAAGTTTGCCTCATGATAGTGCCTTTTCACAGGCAGACAGAGAAGGGGGTTGAGTTAAACAGGATTTCTCTACATGATGCAAATGAAAGTAAACCCGGACGTGGAGGTTGGCTTGGAGGTACCTTCTGCCCTCGGCTTCTCCACCAGCTTGTTCTCCAGTCCTTCCGCACGCTCTGAAGCACATTGCTGAAAGGAGAATCTGGATTTGAATGCCTGTGGGTCCCAGTGATAAGGCTAGATGGGAGGAACCATGGTTCCTAGCTTTTGCATTCACCTGTAATCATTTGGTTTATTTGTACCGAAGCCAAAGGTTCTGGCCACATGTTTGGACACCTGGATTTTAAAATAGTGGTGGAGCCTCCTGATGCCTCTTCTTTCACTGTGGTCCTGTTAGCACCTTCACGCCAGGAGAAGGCTGCATGGATGAGCGACATCAGTCAGGTAACTGAGTGGATGCCCCTCCCCCAGTTTTTAAGAATTTCCATCATAAACATTTAGTGAGGATTTCTAGATTAGCTATGTGCTTCTAAGTCACTGGGCTAACCACCACCGGCACCTCACACTTTGGTGGGCTGTTTGCATTCTACTGTTGTTCTTCCCCTGTTAGCACTTACTTAAGATGGTAAATATGATCAGTGCCTCGTTCAGCCATCATCGGACCAGCTTCCTCCTACGGTAGATGGGAATAAATAGAGACCCATAGCCAGACATTATGCAGAGAATGAGAAGCCTTGGAACATTTACCCCTAAATGGGACATTTCTATCAAATCCCTCCCCTCAGGGAACCCAATGGAAGAAGCAGCAAAGAGTGTAAGAGCCAGAGGGGATGGAGGACATCAAAAACCAAGGCTCTCTGAATCAATATGCAATGAATCCATCTGCTTGATTAGCAATGAATCAATATGATATGCAATGAATCAATATGAGCAAGGCTCATAAGAATTCATAGAGACTTCCAGAATGCATAGGTCCTGTTCAGGTCTGTACCAGGTCCTTTGCAAATATATGATGGCTTCCAGTTTACTGTTTTTATGGGATTCCCGAGTGAGTGAATGAGTGGGTCTTTGTTTCTTGTGCCTTTCCTTGGGCTCTTTTCCTTCTGCTCATTTGTTTTGTCTAATTCTGATGTGTTAGGTTTTTTTATATTATATTATATTATATTATATTATATTATATTATATTATATTATATTATATTATATTATATTATATTATATTATTTTATTTTATTTTATTTTATTATTTAAAACAATGCAATTAAATTGTAGTTCCCAAGCCAACTACACCAGCTGCAACTGAGTCAAACAGTGTTGAAATTGTTCTGTTAGTAATTCTTTTCCAGTGTCATTTTTTGCTTGTCTATTTCTAAAGTAGGAAGATGATGAGAGATTCAAAAACAGCTATTGAGGGCTGTGGTGGAAATTTGCAAAGTAAAGACCCAAAGGAGACAGCATCTTTAGGATGAAATCTGGAAATGACTTCCTGCATTTTGTGTAGAAGAAAATTCAGGAGCTGGATGGTTGCTTTTCCCGGATGTGCAAGGCTCAGGCAGGAAACGACACACTTATTCAGGCAATGATGTCACGTGGAAATGTCAGATTAGTCATAGCTGGACTTGATTCACACCCCACGTGGATTTGGGCTCCATTTACCAATGTGAGGGAAAGGTTTGTGGGAATGGAGACTATTGTAGTAAGACCTGAGTGAAATGTGGTGATTTGTACCTGAACTCAACAGGAAGTTGAGGCAGGAAGATTGCTTGACTCTAAGTGTCCCAGACCAACCTAGGCAATTCAACAAGAGCTCATTTCTGAACTTTAGTTAATGAATTGATAAGGTCTTTACTTAATAGCCAGCACTTATGTCCCAAGTTGTCATTTGAAGAAAATTAGGGCAAATGGCAAAGGCATTCATTGTCGTCACTGTCATTCGTGGCAAGCTTTTTTTCCTGAAGAGTTCAGAGGAATTTTCTCCTAAGATGCGAATGGAAGCAAATACTGAGATCATCGGTTCTTTAGCTGCTTAAACATTTGGAGGGACTGATTACTGAGAGAGCAGTAGACATGCACAGCCATAAAAGTTGGCTTTACTGATTAAAACAGTTTTCAAGTTCCACTCTCACTCATTCTACCCATACAATAGCATGAAAGAAAGAAAGAAAGAAAGAAAGAAAGAAAGAAAGAAAGAAAGAAAGAAAGAGAAAGAAAGAAAAAGAAAGAAAGAAAGACCACTGGCTTCACTGTGCAGGTCAGAAATGGGAGTTAGAAAATCCACCTTTATCAGAGTCACATGGCTGCATGGAGTTGGTACTCAGTCCTCAGCTAGTTCTTTCTGTTGGTACTGAACAGCTTGCCTGGGTTACCTGTTTAATCCTCAGACTGCTTTGATGGTGGGCAAATAGTTAGAAGAGAAATATCTCCTTTCTGCCCCTAAATGGATACAAACATGAGATATTCCTTAATTTTTTGAGCAAAATTACATTCTTATGTTGGCTAATTAATACTTTTAACCTATATTAATACTTCACTAAGCCTCTACTATTTGTAAAGAATCTCTGATCTTATGAAGCTTTTCCTCATTCATTGATTATTTAAAGATTTACTGAGGAATCACCACACACAGCCAGGTCTTGTTCAGATATGGGCATATGTAATAAGACGAGCTGTTAGGGAAGACAAGGAGTAACTCACTGAGTGCATACAGTTTCATAGCGCTGTGAAGCTGAGAAGTATAAAAAGAGCCAGATGTTTTCCAGCTGCTGAGATCGTCTTTGTATGATGTAACCAGGACACCTACGATTTCAAGGAGATCACTATCATCTCCCAACCTTTCCTGTGGTGCCTCGTGGGGCATGTGGGAAGATCCCTGGAATAGATGAGTTGTCGTGCCTGGCCTTTTAAAGGAAGGTACTCAAACGTTTGCCTACTACAAACATTCAAATGAGATCTCAGTTTCTACTGAGACTATGGTTTAAGGCAAAAGTATTCAACTTCCTTTAGTTCCTTCCCGTGCAGTGGTAAGTATGTTGCTTCATACAAAACGATACTAGGTTTTATCTGCAGTTGAAGAGCATTAATAGAAGTTACATCACTTCTAGTGGTAATGAAAGCAATATGCAAAAGTGCAATGAATAGAAATAGCACATGGACATGTAACAAAGTGAAAGTCATTTCAGAAAAGGCAACAGCGACTGCAAAGACTCTAAATTGGGAGAAGGATGTGTTGTTTTTAAATTTTTAAAATTTATTTATTATTTATTACATTTTATTCACTTTGTATCCCGGCTGTAACTCCCTCATCTCCTCCCAGTCCCACCCTTCCCCCCTCTTCTTCCTCTATGCCCCTCCCCTAGCTGCTGGTAGGGGAAGTCCTCCTCCCAAGAAGGATATGTTTTTAAGGAATACCATGCAAGCTGATGTGACTGGGCTGGAGAAATAGGAATAGTAAGATATGATGGGGCCAGATCAGGGGTGAAGTCAATGGCAGAGGGGGGGCTTTCGTTTGTACTTCCAGTCAGGTGAAAGCTGTTAAGGGATTTCAACACGTGGATTTCGACATTTAATTTAGGCCTTGGACGGTCACTGCAGGTATTATGGAGAGAGCATACTGAGCTGGAGAGTCAGTTGGCACAGAGGGAGGTAAGGGAGAATGCTCCTACAGTTACCAGAAGAAAGGCCCATAAAACCCACTCAGCCTGGCATCAGTTGGGTTGGGCACAGGGGTTCTGCTCTGTGCTCATTTTGAAGGAAGGGTGAGCAGGGTTTTTTCGTGGAAGAAAGAGAAAATGCTGAGTCAGGTAATAGGAGAGCCCGTGGCCTAAGCAATCCCAAGAGTGGAGTTGTCAATAACTGAGATGGGAAAGTCTGTGGGGGCAAGATGTTGGGGGTAAACTTGGGCTTCCTTTTGGGTATGTTGAATCTGTGAAACCCAAAAGATATTTGAAAGGAGTCAAATAACTGGGGCTCCTGAGAGCTTGGACTTCAGGACAGGTGGAGAATCCACATCTGTCAGGCACATCTGGGAGTTTATGCTCTGCGACTGTTGAAATCACTGTGAGAGAATATAGATAGATGAAGGAGGAGCCAGAAGGAACTGCGGAGATGACCAAGAAGGAGCCACCGAGAGAGCAGAAGGATGGCAGGGTTTAGTGGCATCCTGGAAGCAAATGAAGAAAGTGTGTAAGCCGGAGGGAGAGGTCCTGTAGGAAGCTCTGCAGCTGGATGGGCAGCGAGTGCTCCAGGATGTCATTTGAGTTGGGGTGGAGTTTGAATGGCAAGTTGTAGGTACTGAATAGTCTGTTATTGATTGAGCCTAACCTACAGCTTATATGTCTACATTGCAATTGGATTCATGCTGTGCCCAAGGCATAATCATTTTGTAGGAGATGTAATATACACACTCATGGGATTTGTTAGACTCACAAGTAGAGCTGAACATCTTTATTATTAACAGGAAGAGCCTACCAAGTACTTGAAAATATCTTCAATATTTTATTGTGTGTGTGTAAAAACATGGCCCCAAAAATGAACTAGAAATATTCCCAACACCAAGGTCTTTATGAAAGTGTTTTCTACACGCAGCCCATGTTAGCATGACTTGAGGAGTTTTGCTCCAATGATCATTGAGACTCTGAAACCCAGATCACATTTCAAATGCCCTAGACTGAACAAGCTCTGTAAATCACTTCTGCCCAATTATGTTGCAGAACCTCTGCCCTGAATAATAAACTCTTTCCATCTCCAAACCCCCTAAAATCCATTAAAAAATTATGTCATAATTTGGCCTCAGTGGGTATTTTTTTTGCCTCATTTCCTTCTTTCTATATTTTTATAATTCTTTATATCTGTTCTTCAAATAATTGTGTGTGCATACACAATACATATATATCCTGTCCCATTAATTTACCACTTTTATAGCTTTTCCCAAATCACTGACTATTGACATGCTATTTCCCAGTCTTAGGACTAATATGTAATGTGCTGCCAACTTGGTCAGGACATCTCTACCCACTTCCAGGTTCACTGATAAACTCCCCCGAAGAGTGTAAGATTGGCAGTGGAGGCCATGGTCATTGTCATGATTTCATTTAATGATTCATGTGTGGTTACTTTTTCTTCAGGAAATATGTAAGTCATCTTCGGCAAGAACTGGAGTACAGGCCGAGAACCTGCCTCCTATGTGGGATGTCATGGTTTCAATCCCCAGTGTTACCTCTCAGCCCCCCAAAAGCAAGGGATTATTCTTTCTGCCACCAATATGGTTCCATACTAAGTCCTTCCACATGCTAACCATATCACCACATCTTCCAGTGTAATGGAAAATCAGGTTTTGCCTTGAAGAGGTTTTAATTTGCATCTTTGTGATTACTCAAGAGATTATAATTTTGTGCTATTTCTACTTCTTGTCTCTTTTTACCAGCTGAACACTCATTCACTAGAACT